TTGAAATGATGATCCTTCTTCCTGTTGGGACCTCCTGACTCACTTTTCCTCGTTACTGTTCCCTCTTTTTTTAAACTTATTCACTATTCTCTTGATGGTTTTTGGATGTACTTTCAAGATGGAAGCAAGAGTATGAATGTTCGTACCATTGCTGAAGGTGTAAATGATCTTTTTCCTCTCAGCATTGCTCACTTGGGAAGACAGTGGAGTTGACACAAAACAATTTTAAGCTTCTCTCTTTTAAGCATATATATATATATATATATATATATATATATATATATATATATATATATATATGCGGTGCTTATTGAAAAATGCTCAATATCCGTGATAGAGTTAATATCGCGGTTACAAACTACTATCTATGCAACAGAGTATATATATATATATATATATGTGTGTGTGTGTGTGTGTGTGTGTGTGTGTGTGTGTGTGTGTGTGTGTGTGTGTGTGTGTGTGTGCACGCACGCGTGTCTTAAGGCCATATCACGTTGGAACAATTGCTTCTGTTTCGAAGTTAAACAACGTTGAACCTGGTCAGTATCTAGATAGGTTACCACTTGGGAATAACAGGCGGTGTAGGCTTGGAAGTGAATGAACTTGAATAAATAAAACTAACAGAGAGAGTGAGAAAAGATGAATGAATAGAAATAAAAGATAGATGAATATACAGAATGAGATAGAAACAGATAGATAGATAGATAGATAGATAGATAGATAGATGAATAGATGAGATAGATAGATAGATAGATAGATGAATAGATAGATAGATGAATGAATCTGATAGATAATGAACACTTTCTGATAGATAGATAGATAGATAGATAGATAGATAGATAGATAGATGAAGATAGATAGGATGAGGGAACAGTCTGAGATAGATAGATAGATAGATAGATAGATAGATAGATAGATAGATAGATAGATAGATAATGAACACTTTCTGATAGATAGATAGATAGATAGATAGATAGATAGATAGATAGATAGATAGATAGATAGATAGATAGATAGATAATGAACAGTCTGAGATAGATAGATAGATAGATAGATAGATAGATAGATAGATAGATAGATAATGAACACTTTCTGATAGATAGATAGATAGATAGATAGATAGATAGATAGATAGATAGATAGATAGATTGAATAAGAAAACAGAAACATTTATTCAGATAGATTTAGATGGTATAGATAGATAGATAGAAGTTTATATCAAACAAAAGAAAGAAATGAAAGAAAGATAAAGAAAGAAAGAAAGAAAGAAAGAAGGAAAAGATGAAAGATAGAAAAAAGGAGATAGAAGGATGATAAACTTTCTGATAGATGAGATAGAAAAAGATAGAAAAGAAGATAGGAAAAAGAATTTATTCAGAATTATAAAAAAAAAGAAAGAAAGAAAATGAGAAAGAAAAAGATGAAAAAAAAAGGAAAAACTGAGAAAAAAGGAATTGGGAAATGAGAATTAAAAAACGGAAAAGAAAAAAAAAGAAATGAAAAAAAAGGAAGAAAACGGAAAGAAGATGAAAAGCAAGAAAAATGAAAAAGAAAGAAAGAATGGGTCAAAGTGGGTTGAAAAAAGAAAACAATTTTCAGGGAATGTAAGAAAGATGGAGGGCGAAAAAATCTTAAAGAAGTAGTAAAGGCCGACTATCAAGACGAAAGCAAAAAAATAAAAAATAAAATGGAGAGAATGAAGTGGGTTTTGATTGAGAATGAAAGATGGGGACCAAAAAGTAACTAAACAGGAAAGAAAAGAAAAGAAGTAAAAGGTAAATTGTTCGTTTTTCCTGTTTCCTGTTAAGTCCACGTTTGTATTATTGACACTATTGAACGTTTCTTACAAAACATTTTCCACAATGTTCTTTCGATAAATCTCCTTTTCAATCTCTGAAAGGTAAACACAAAATGGCGACAATGACAATGAAGCCGAGAAATCTTATAATGTCTGCTGAAATGATATTTTTGTACAGGATTTCACACAGATGGTCAATACTGGCAATACATTGTCTGTTTGTTCCTCGTTACTGATGACCTTTCAGGAAACATGATAACAGAAAGAACCAAGTGACCGTCACATTGATATCTGTTAAAACCCCTTATATCTATCTATCTATCTATCTATCTATCTATCTATCTATCTATCTATCGCCAAGTGTCTTTTCATTATCTATCTATCTATCTATCTACCTATCTATCTATCTATCTATCTATCTATCTATCTATCTCCAAGTGTCTTTTCATTACCTATCTATCTATCTATCTATCTTAGTCTTTTCATGTGTATCTATCTATCTATCTATCTCAGTCTGGTCATTATCTATCTATCAATATATCAATATCAGTTTGTTCATATTTATCTATTACAGTATGTTCATATCTGTCTTAGTCTGTTCATATTTGTCAACCTATCTATCTATCTATCTATCTATCTATCTATCTATCTATCTCAATCTGTTCATATAAATCAGTCTGTTCGTATCTATCTATCTATCTATCTATCTATCTATCTGAGTCTGTTGATTATCTATCTATCTCAATCTGTCCATATATATCCGTCTGTTCCTATCTATCTATCTATCTATCTATCTCAGTCTGTTCATGTATATCAGTCTGTTCATATCCTTCTATCTATCTATCTATCTATCTATCTATCTATCTATCTATCTATCTATCTGCCTGCCTGTCTGTCTGTCTGTTCATATCTATCTTAGTCTGTTCATATCTATCTGTTTATCTATCTATCTCAGTCTGTTCATGTATATCAGTCTGTTTATATCATTCTATCTATCTATCTATCTATCTATCTATCTATCTATCTATCTATCGGTCTGTCTGTCTGTTCATATCTATCTTAGTCTGTTCATATCTATCTATTTATCTATCTATCTCAGTCTGTTCGTATCTATCACAATCGCAATTTGTTAATATCCACCTATCTAAATACATTCATATCACTCAATTCTATCTATGTAGCCAGTCTGATCCAATCTCTCTCTCTCTATCTCTCTCTCTCTCTCTCTCTCTCTCTCTATATATATATATATATATATATATATATATTCATTTCTTTTTTTTTTCTTTCTACGTCCGTTCAAGTTTGTTCATATGATATCTATCAATCGAGTGATCGATATATCTTACGTTGCGTGATTCTGCACTGCGTGATTCTGCGCCAATATTCCTTTCACTGCTTAAATTTGAACAGCAAGCAAATCGAATGTAGTATGGACTTTTGCCGCAACCCTTTTGTAATCCAATTTGCAAGCAGCAGACAAGAGAAGAGAATGTTTTTAGGCAACTCATTTCTCCCTTATGTAATTCTTTTTAACAATGGCGCTCATTGAAAGTCGCTGAATGGAAGCCATCCGTTCAGTTCGTATTTTCACCGTGGCTCTTCCCATCTGGTCTTTCCCAAAATGGCCACCGGTTTCGTTTCAAATTTTCATGACAATGTAAGCAGCACTTTTTTAGACCCTAGAACACCCAATAATAACACGTCGGTTGTTGCAAGATCATCGCACGAGGATTCAGTCAGTTATGTGCCATGCGTGATACACGCTTAGGCGATCATGTATCTTTCGATACATGACTGACGAGGCAGATTTTTTTCCTGCAATAGCCATTTCTTTCTGCTATAGAACCCAGTCTGTCCTGCTATTTACCCATAGCTGGGGGGAGAAGAAGAGGATTCATACCTTTCCCAATGGTATTAGCATGCATGTGAATGTAATGGATTCGACTGGAATTCGAACTCGGCTCTCCGATTCCTCAATCCGAGCCGAAGATGCTGTTATGATGTGATTTACAACACATGCCAAATGTCAAATCCTAAACAGCCTACATACGGGTATTTCAATATTACCACGATAACAGAACCTGTTACACTGCTTTAAATTGTTTAGTCATTCCTGAAAATGCTATTCTAAAAATGGTATGAGTGATACACGCTTAGGCGATCAGGTACCTTTTGATACATGACTGACGAGGCAGTTTTTTTTTCCTGCAGTAGGTTGCCATTTCTTTCTGTTTAGGTGATAATGTATCTTTCGATACATGACTAACGATGCAGATTTTTCCCCCGCAGTAGGTTGCCATTTCTTTCTGCAGTAGACCAATTACCATCCAATGCTATAGAACCCGGTCTGTCCTGCTATTTACCCATAGCTGTGGGGAGAAGAAGAAGATTCATACCTTTCCCAAGGGTATTAGCACGTAAATGAATTTCAGTCAGTTATGTGCCATGCTTGATACACGCTTAGGCGATCATGTATCTTTCGATACATGACTGACGAGGCAGATTTTTTTCCTGCAATAGCCATTTCTTTCTGCTATAGAACCCAGTCTGTCCTGCTATTTACCCATAGCTGGGGGGAGAAGAAGAGGATTCATACCTTTCCCAAGGGTATTAGCACGTAAGTGAATATAATGGATTCGACTGGAATTCGAACTCGGCTCTCCGATTCCTCAATCCGAGCAGCTATCCAGTACTCGCACGAGATTACAGTGACAAACAAGTGGAATCCTTTCAATTTCAACAGACAAAACAACAAACTTTCAACAAACTGAAAGTACCTCTCTTAAGAGCTTCAGATAATGCAAAGCAGGCTGCAGAATTGACCGGCCATCACATAGGGATCAAAACAGGGATGATAACGATACTCGCACGAATAAATTGCTCTCTCTCTCCCTCTCTCTCTCTCTCTCCCTCTCTCTCTCTCTCTCCCTCTCTCTGGGGATGTGGAGTTCGTGTAATGGATAGGATAGCAGCTTGGAATGAGGAATCAGAGAGCCAAGTTCGAATTCCAGTCTCGTCCGTTACATTCACTTGTGCAAAAATAACCTTGGCGAAGGCATGAACACATCTCCCCTTTTCAATTGGAAAAAAAGAATCGTTATTATCTAAAAAAATTGTTTCATGTAATATTCACCAGCAATAAAAAAAAAAATATCTATTCTTACAATCCGAAATATGCTTCGGCTTTAAGTAACCCGCAAAGGGGTTGATAAACCGTAAAAAACAATCAGTGAGTCAAAAAACTCAACCTATCTGTCTGTCTTTCTCTCTTTCTCTCTCTCTCTCTCTCACACACACACACACACACACACACACACACACAACACAACACAACACAACACAACACAACACAACACACAGTTGGTATGACGTTTGCCTGATAACGTAACTGTCCGGGTTTCAATTCTCGGTAGTGGATGCGCACTGCTGATGAGTCCCAAATATTAGACGAAACGGCCATCCAGTGCTTTCTGCATTCTGTTGAGGTTTCTTTCAGACTCGTTGAATTAATTATAATTATCTCAAATCCTCCTAATTTCTATCACTCTCTCTCTCTCTCTCTATATATATATATATATATATATATATATATATATATATATATATATATGAAGAACATATCTGGAAAAACAAAACAAAAATCCTTAAAATGCGATTATATTTGTTTTAATATGAATTCATATTAAAACAACATAATCGCATTTTTAGATTTTTGTTTTTTTTTCCAGATATTTTCTTCATTCTGTCATTTTATATCCATTTATATTTGCTTATCATATATATATATATATATATATATATATATATATATATATATATATATTTATCAAAAATGCTTTTACAAAAATTAGGGGCGTGTTCCTGAATCTACCGTAAACTTTCTTTAAAGTTGATAACTCAAGAACGAAGGAATTGCGGACCTATGTGTCATATATATGTGTTATATGTCCTTATTTGTTCTTGTTTTGGTGTGAGGCACCCGCCTCCAAAGTTTGTAAAAGTATTTTTGATACACCCCTATATATATATGTGTGTGTGTGTGTGTGTGTGTGTGTGTGTGTGTGTGTGTGTGTGTGTGTGATAGGTTACTGAAAATTTCCCGACCAGACCCCACTTCTCTATATCTGATGAGAGCAGCAAACCTACGGTGAACTTCGATGAATTGGGTAAGGAAGAATCGTCATCATCAGTCTCCTGATCGGGAATGGTCGTAGGGTGTCTGCGCTGCTAAACAGCTCACCACTACCCTCCACATATCTGAGTTGGCAGCTGGGGGAAGTATTCCGTCGTGTTTTGCGAGCCGTTTTCTGAAGTAAACCTAACAGAGAACATCCCACTTTAGGTCAAACAACGGATGTCCAGCTTAGAATCTCGCCTTGGTCAGGGACACGTAGATAAACGAAATACAAAGAAAGAAAGAAAGAAAGGAAGAAAGAAAGCAAGAAAGAAAGAAAGAAAGAAAGAAAGGGAAGCATATAAAATGCTAAGAAGAGAAGACGGAAGGTCGCAATAGGAAAAAACAAATAAAGAAGACGAAGTGAGGGAAAAGAAAGAAAGAAAGAAAGAAAGAAAGGGAAGCATATAAAATGCTAAGAAAGGAAGACGAAAGGTCGCAAAAGGAAAAAACAAATAAAGAAGACGAAGGGAGGGAAAAGAAAGAAAGAAAGAAAGAAAGAAAGAAAGAAAGAAAGAAAGAAAGAAAGAAAGAAAGAAAGAAAGAAAAGTGATTGGTAAAAAAGAAAGAAAAGTGATTGGAAAGAAAGAAAGAAAGAAAGAAAGAAAGAAAGAAAGAAAGAAAGAAAGAAAGAAAGAAAGAAAGAAAGAAAAATAAAATTAAAAACAAAAAATGTGAATTGATAATCAATTAGACTGATATTAATGAATAGTTTATTCCCATAATAATAACAGTAATGAATAATTTATTCTTTAATTTGCGTCCGAAAAATAAGTTTTCAAACACCACTGAAAAAATAAACTTATTGAATGTTAAGGGAAGTTAATTTCCTTCCCCTGTAAAGGACGGTAACTCAAAATACAATTGAGTTACTTCCCTTGTCTTTGAAGACGAACGCGGCGCTTCTGAATTGAACATGGCGACAGGCTTATATGCACGTTGACTTCGTGGTTTCAATCCCAACAAATCCTCGCTCTTCTCAAAGAGTAGATGAATAAAAGTTGTTTTATTTATGTGTTAAAATACACATGTCTTTTATGCTTACTCATTTTTTTTCATCGCATTAGCCTGGAATGTAGCAATGATAAAAGACAAAAAAGAAAATAAAAACGAAAGAAAAAAAAACATTAGGAATGACAAAGAAATAAAATAAATAGAAAACAACGAAAGATCTCGGCAGATCTCGTCACCGCGTGGTATCGTATCAACATGTGGTATCGTATCAATATGTGTCGTTTTATCAACGTGTGGCATTTTATCAACATGTGGCATTTTATCAATATGTGGCATTGTGTCACCGTGTGGCATGCTTAATAACGAAAGTGATAAAAAAAATAAAAAAAATAAGGAAACAAAATGAAATTGGCCAGACCAGTGCTACTCAAAACGTGGTAGGCGTACCGGTGCCGGTACGCGTGCTACCGTCTGCCGGTATACGGAGTGTATCCAGGAAACAAAGAAACAGTAGTCGGAAGACTGTCGGGATTTCTGACTCGGTTTTATTTTAATATTTCCATTTTAGTTTTATATTTATTATGATTACAATTTTCAGTTACTCATTCATGTTAAATGTCATTGCGATACAACTAGCGAATACGATATAATGAACAGCAAAACAGTGAAATAAAATACGTATGTCGTGATTGACTGTGTGGGAACTACACCTAGAAATATGAAAATGCCATTATCATGGACACATTTCGATAAATTCAATGTAATTTTTTTTAAAAAGCAACTTTTACTATATCCCTTATGTATTTGCGGCCATGTTTTCACTTTCCAGTCTTGATAGAGCCCAAAAGCGTCCATTTTATCCTCTGCCAGGTCAGGCCAAAAATAGAGTACTGCTGTCATATATGGGCAGGAGCTGCCCAGTCTTCACTTTCCAGTCTCAATAGAGCCCAAAAGTATTTTGGCTATCCTCTGCCTTTACAAGGGCCAGATCACGCCGAAAATGAAATAATGCTGCCATATATGAGCAAGAGCTGTCCAGTCTTCACATTCCAGTCTTGAGAGAGCCCAAAAGCGTCTACTCTATCCTTTGCCTTCACAAGGGCCAGATCATGCCGAAAATGGAGTACTGCTGCCATATATTAGGGCAAGAGCTGCCCAGTCTTCACTTTCTAGCGCGACAGAGCCCAAAAGCGTCTCTGCTATCCTCTGCCTTTACAAGGGCCAGATCAGGCCGAAAATAGAGTACTGCTGCCATATATGAACAGAAGCTGCCCAGTCTTCACTTTCTAGCGCGACAGAGCCCAAAAGCGTCTCTGCTATCCTCTGCCTTTACAAGGGCCAGATCAGGCCGAAAATAGAGTACTGCTGCCATATATGAACAGAAGCTGCCCAGTCTTCACTTTCTAGCGCGACAGAGCCCAAAAGCGTCTCTGCTATCCTCTGCCTTTACAAGGGCCAGATCAGGCCGAAAATAGAGTACTGCTGCCATATATGAACAGAAGCTGCCCAGTCTTCACTTTCTAGCGCGACAGGGCCCAAACGCGTCTCTGCTATCCTCTGCCTTTACAAAGACCAGATCTGGCCGAAAATAGAGTACTGCTGCCATATATGAACAGAAGCTGCCCAGTCTTCACTTTCTAGCGCGACAGGGCCCAAAAGCGTCTCTGCTATCCTCTGTCTTTACAAGCGCCAGATCAGGCCGAAAATAGAGTACTGCTGCCATAGATGTATTTCTGGTATAAATGAATAATACTACAAATGTTCAAATAGTATTTTCTCGGGACAATTATCCTATAATTATATGTCACAAATATGGCACCGGTCGCAGGCACACTGGGAAAACTTGATTCGTCAATGATGACCAGACTTACAATGAATAAAACATTATGTCCCCATGTTTAGTAAAGATAATCTCAAAATGATTCTGCTACATAAAAAAAAAACATGTTTTAGTGGGCAGCACTTTCCAGCCTGCTTGGAAAACATCGCTCACCGGTCCCTTATACATTGAATAAAGAAAACTGCCCCTACGCCACATCTGACAATTTTAGAAGTACTGGGTTTGACGACATCTCTCTCTCTCTCTCTCTCTCTCTCTGTCTCTCTCTCTCTGTCTCTCTCTCTCTCTACACACACACACAGATATATATATATATATATATATAAATACATTTTTATGTGAATACATTCTTTTTTATAGATACAAATATTTAAGTAAATGCTCTGTTTATAATAAACAGTCTGAATGTCCGAGAAATTGTCATAGAAAATATGCATCCTCCGGCAGGAATCGAACCTGTATCCTATACTGAACCGTCATATAGTCTAACGTGCTTTTACCGATTTCGCCACAGAGGAGCGTTATGAGATTAATGTGTCTCCCCCACCCTCTCCAACAAAATCCTGGAACTAGCAGTCGTCAACCAATCAAATGATATCTGTTGTTAACTTTTCTTCCTGTCTTTACCTGTTCATAAATTGATGGCATGCTAATATAAACAATCCTTCGACATTTCTCTGTTCAACCTAACCTAGCACAAGAAAAAAAAACGTTATAATTGATTATGCAGGGTGCGACAGAAATACTTCCGACATTTAAAAGTTAACTGCTATTTAAGAAAATAAAATAGTTCTCCGTTCTTTAAACAATGAGCTACAGTTTTTAATTTCGTTTTCAAAATGACATACTCCAAATGGTGACCTCTCTTCGCCATACACTGTTGTAGACGATTTCTAAAGTACTCCATCAACCGGAAGTTCGAACGCTTCTAGATCTTCCGGGTGGCTTTGTTTTAAGCGCTGAACCTGAGGCGCTGTAATTTTCAACCCGTACCAGTATCGATTTTCTACAGCATTGTTCCGACATAACATGAAATGAGCAGGAAAAGCTCTCTATGCTACAATTACAAGTTCACCAGTTTAAAAAAAAAAACAAAAAAAAACGTTTCAACAGCAAATTCACGGTGTGCCTCGTTCCAAGCCATTATGATAACTGATTGTATCTGAAAATACTTCATATGGAGTACTGCTGCCATATATTGGCAGGAGCTACCGACTCTTCACTTTCCAGTCTTGATAGAGTCCAAAAGCGTCTCCGCTATCCTCTGCCTTTACTAGGGCCGGGCCAAGCCGGTAATGGAGTACTGTCGTCATATATGAACAGGAGCTGCCCAGTCTTCACTTTCCAGTCTTGTTAGAGCCCAAAAGTATCTTGGCTATCCTCTGCCTTTACAAGGGCCAGATCAGGCCGAAAAATGAAGTAATGCTGCCATATATGGGCAGGAGCTACACAGTCTCTTCACTTTCTAGTCTCGATAGAGCCCAAAAGCGTCTACGCTATCCTCTGCCTTTACAAGAGCCAGATCAGGCCGAAAATGGAGTACTGCTGCCATAGCTAGAAGACACCATTGCCATTTGCCTAAATACACTAACAACAACAAAGGTGACTGTTTAAAATGTGGCGGGATCGGGGTATTTCTTCCGTATCCTGTATTTAGAACATAGATCTTTATTTTTTTTTTTAATGTAAATTTTTCACTAACCACACCATTTCATCTTCAACGCTAAGAAACAAGCTTACAAAATCCACAAACCCCACCAAAATAGATACAGCCGAACGCACTTCCATCAACAACACAAGATCCTTTAACATTCTACTAATCTTGTAAATTAATTAGTTATCCCTAATATTGGGATCTCTACCAATACGTCCAAGACAATTGGAGATATAATTAAGAAGAAAATTAAATCCAACGCCAATTCTAATGCCGGTACTTATCAAAGAGGAGGCACGGTGGAGTAATGGATAGCGGCTTGGATTGAGGAATCGGAGAGCCGAGTTCGAATTCCAGTTGAATCCATTATATTCACTTACGTTCTAATACCCTTGGGAAAGGTATGAATCCTATTTTTCTCCCTCCAGCTATGGGTAAATAGCAGGACAGACTGGGTTCTATAGCCTTGGATGGCAACTGGTCTAGAAGAAGGACAACTCTGAATTCAAACCCGGAGTGGATCCACTAAGGCGGATGGACGGCACTTTGTGCTACCTCCCGCGCTATTATCAAACTCTATTGGTTTATCCTCTCATTTGGATTCTGCTAGCAAGGCCGAGAGGGGGGGAACTCGACGTCTGGTCAGCCCTAGTTCTCCACATATCCAACCCAGGCTCGCGCAGCGCGCTACTCCACCGTCTCTCGAGACGGACAGATGCCTACGACGACTTATCAAACAAATAGCTTACAATGTAAAAGCATTTATATCGGAGAGACATCACGAAACTTTAACTCCCGTATCTACAAACATAAAAGAGTTTTTAAGTTTTGACAACTATTCTAACTAGCTCGTAATACACAGGAACAAAACTGGCCATAACTTTGATCTTACAAATGCCACCCTAATTATAAAAAAAAAGAACATATTTCTGTGAGTCGAAAGTATTCAAAAGTATATTTCAATTGCAAACTATAAACACATCACGTTTTTATTATATTATATAATATTATATCACGTTACTAATATTATATCACGTTACTAACCTTTAATGAATCCGTTCTTAAAAAATCTAACGCATATTTATCTAAAACAAGCGGTATGTACGTAAAAACATTCTCAAATCAACATGCGAAAAGCCAACAAACATGTCTTCTAAAAATACACACACACGCATGCGCACACACTTACAATACAATATTACCAACTATAATGATAACATTATATTACATCACTAGTTGTTATTGATACCATTTTTAAGAATATAACGTATTTTTATCTGATGTACGTGATGTACGTAAAATCCTTCCCAAAACAACATAAAAAAACATAATATTTAATAGACACACAGACACTTAAGAATATACATTATTATCTGATACCCACATAAACAAATTAGAATTATTATACACTAATATCCATAAAACAGGATGGGTTGGAATCTATTAATTTCTTGGAACTTCGAAGGGACGTGTCGTCTCTCCTTGAATTCAGAATGCCATAAATTAAACTAACGTTTGTTTGAGAAATCAAATGCAACGTAAAACCTGATTAATCAATGACGATGAAACAATGCAAAAATATAAATACCAAATTTCTTTCTTCTTTTTTAATAAAAGTGAAAACATGTTAGATTGATAAATGTTTCCTATTTGTTCTTTATCTTATCATTCTGTCGGATTCCGATCCATATATGATCTCCATTTGATCCCAGCTCATCTTGTCTGAACAGTGAAACTACTTCAAAAGGACAACAGCATTCTCTCCATATCTCATTCTCTGATGAAGCTTTAATAAAAGTGAAACAT